GTACTATTCTGGTAGGAAATTAGTGGGTAACACTTTTTCAAAAATGATCTGTTGTATCAGCTTTCTGTTCGTTTTCAGTAATGTTATATTTATGTCATCATAATGTTGGCCCAGCGTGTATGTACGTAGCCTAACTGATAGAGGAAGTAGACGCGCACGGAGGTACGTTCCATCACGTTGCGCTCCCTCAGTTCGTGAAGTACGAAACGTTAAGGCGCTTAACAAAACAGAGTTTCACCAAATGGCCATGACTGGTAGACTTCGAAACACTAAAACTTTCTTCCATTTCATTAGTAGTGATGTACCGATTCGTTTTGATCAACATTTTCATTTGGAAGTTTTGAACTGATGATAGCTTATGAACGTTGCCGATCTATAAGGGTGAATTCATCTCGTTTGAAATTCGCGAACCACTCACACACTGTACGTTCCCCCAGAACATTGTCTAATTAAACGTCAGAAATCTTTCCCGCGGTTAAGATGTGTTTTTGCTCCTGCGGAGGAAGAAAAACATCGGGTGCTGCGATGGTCCTCAATTTTCGCTCGAGCCCTATACAGAAAGACTTTGGAGAACGTTAATAGACTCTGAACAGGAATATAGGGGAGAAAACCATTTCAGAAGATGCGTAACAGTGCAGGGTTGGGTCTTCTATCATTTCTATATTAGTTGATAAAAAAACAGGGTGTTCAAGAACGTTGGAAACTTTCCGGGCAACCCAATATGTTGTAGTCCATCCCAAACATAGTACAATTACCCTCCTTGCCAACTTGCGGTTGTACATAGGCAATGGTATAGCTTGTTCCTACCGACGCGCTTCTTAAGATTGAAGGCTGGTACGTTCACGATTACAAATGAATTTCTCAAACCCTATCTCCTAAGTCTTCCTAATAGTGACACTGACCTCGTCAGAAATAAATGGTAAATGGTACGTCAGAAATAAGTGGTACAAAAAGAATCTTCTTCGTCAATGGAGAGGGGGAGCGGACTACCATGTCTGAGGACCACGCTTTCAGAAGAAACTCTTCGTGTTGCCAAAAATTGGGTAGCCTTCTATGTGAGCTACATCGCAAGAGATTTTTGAGTAACTCCTTTCACTAGTCCTCTCCATTGCAAACCTTCTTGGCAGTGCGAAACATATTCCTAACCACCGCTTGTTATGTAAAAAGAATGAGCTCCGTGATAATGGTCAATGTTATTCTTATTGATGGAAAAAAGCAACAAAATGTTCGAATATATCAACCTAAGTTGGCTAATTATAAGGAAATGTTCCGTTCTATGCTGAGGTGTGCTTTCTGTATTGTTAGTTCAAAATAAGTTGTACACAAAACTTAAGTTTCTGAAAGCATTTAGAATATTGTTTAATCTATTGCTCGAGTCATCTCATTTGGTTTCTCCTTGATCCGGTCTCCGACGGTGTCATCTCAGGTGGTTTCTCCTTAATCCGGTCTCCGACAGTATCTACTGCAATTTATGATAGCAGCGGATAAACGAATAAAAAACAAAACACATATTAGGTGGTTTTCATGGTGAGAACCTATCTCCCGCTAAAAGAGATGAATAGCTGTGGATCTTTCAGGAAGTAGGGTTTAAAAAGTTTGATAGAGTTTCAGCTTCTATGCAGAGACAACAAATCTGTCCGTCAGTGATTCATCAATCCATCATCCTAAAGAGGAAGAACGTGCTTCTGCGATCCCATTTTCCATCAGCAGCAACAGCTACGACATTCTGGGTATTCTGGGCAACGGGGTACTGGAACAGGTATGTGGCGGGACTTTTCTCTGAACTCCCACGGCCAGCGGCAGTGGTTCCGCAGCAACTGCCGTATCCTTCCACTGGGAAATTTCTTTTCATAGCGCGCGATCGAGTGCGGCGAGCGCGGCACGCAGGAGGGGATACCAGACCCCAACAGGTTAGTGGAATAGGTCACTGGGGTGCTAACTTATCAAGTCTCGGTGGTCCCTTTGTTGAGCAAAGGATGTTTTGATTGTTTTTTAAAAAACTTCTTGCAATCATTATAGCTCATTTTATTTTTTGCAACTTTTGGTGTTCCAAAATCATCTTACCTTTTTTTTTACGAATTGCACAAAAGTGGGTTAGTAATTAACTCTAGAAAGGTTGTAGATAGAATGCGTGCTGCGTATTACTCTTCCCCGGTGCAAGGGGAAGTTTCATATTTCATGGAAAGGTTGAGTGAGAATTTCTGGAATCTCTCCTTTTTTTGAAGATACGCCATCTTCATTGAAGATTCTTATTACATCTCTCTCAACTGTAGTCCTTTTTAAGAACATTTCAGTTGTTGTTTTCCTTCTGTTTCTCTGGGCGGAATTTTATGTTCAAGTCAGCTGTTTAGCATATAATTAGCAACTGATTGTGTCTTTTTGATCACGTATATACATATGTGTATTATGGAAGGTCGGATGGATGCTAGTTATGTGCCCGGTCAATTTTTCGATTTTATGGCATTTCTCCATGTTTCGCAAGAACTTTGTAGATCGTGTTCCTTGGATATATATAGGATTCTACGTTGATTACCCAGCATTGTGCATTCAGACATGCTTTCGATAGTTGTCCGCTGTTCTTCAAGAGAAGCTCATCGAATTGACCGATGAAAAAACAGCCAGCTGAAAGCGGTTCGTCTTTTGCATATTAACGTCACCGGACTAACTCTACCCGTTTGGTAAGGTATTGTGATTAGTCAAAGGGTCAATAGAACGACCATGCGTTTTTTTTTTGTCCTGTGATAACAGTAACTCGATGCTCAGTTACACATCGTTTCATTCCAATAAGGAGCAATGGCTCAGCACAAATTAATCCAGCATATATTCTACTATATGTAACCCGCTAACTTGTGTTCGACCGGAAATTCATAACTTCCGTTCCCGTGGACCTAGAGGCTTCGAATTTGGTAGGAGTACAGGCGGCAGGATTACACGTGTGGTGTGTGGAGGACCAAACTGTGCCCACAAGGGGCGGGGCTTGCGCAAAATAGATTTTTGAACGGGAATTCATAACTCCTATTGCCATGGACTGAAATGTTCAAAGTCTGTAAGAGTACAGGAGCAGGATTAGAACTTTGATAGTAGGAGACAGGGTTGAGCCCCGCCCTCGAAAATCGTCAATTTGGCCCCAGGGCATCAAAACTTGGTAGAGGCGCAGGAAACACTGATAGTTGGTAGCAGGATTGAATTCCACTAACAGGGGACGGGGCGTGCACGAAAATTGTTGATATTGACTCGGAAGCTCGAACTGTCACAGACGTAGAAGAGAGCATGTTTAATGAAGAGCATTATTTTACCAGTAAATATATTACTTACCCTGTTGCGGCAGTGTATTCCTTATACTCATTTAGTTAGTGATTTCTACTCTGAAGATGTCCTGTCCGGCGACACGATCACACGAAACTGATCTCTATCGATCAGAGATCGCGAGGGAGACCGCGCACGAATGCCGAACGTCAGCACGTGGCAGAGCACCGAGAGCATTCGACCTATTCTTCCTGATTCG